CCCTGTCTTCCAGATATCCCACAGTAGAGGTCTCTGGACTTTCTGGAAACTTGGGCAACCTGTTGAGGAGCAGAGTTGGGGAATTCATTCCTATTTCATGCTAGTTATGGTGCAGCTGGAATCTTAATATTTGGACTTCACTATATAAAGGCTTTTTGACAATGATAAAGTCAGTAGGCTAAAGATGGGCTCACAGGAACTTAAACCAGCTCTTTCTTTAAGGACACCATGTTCCATATCAAAGAAAAGTTAAACAAAGTGGTCAGGACAAATACTTCCTTTCCCCATGTGTCTGGATGTGTTGAAAGAGGAAGCAGTATTCTGAGAACAGAGTCTTTCCCTCTCCTCTCATGTGATAGTACAACAATTGGTATTGGCAAAGACACAAGGAGAAATGCTTCCTCTTTTTACATGGGGGAAGTCAACCTCTCCAGCTTTCAGAGACGGTGTTCTTGCACACATTCTTCCTGCTTTAAGCTAAAAAGACTGTATCTCTGAATAGCCAAGATTATTTTTTCTCTCTCCATCAATTTGGCTTACCAATGAACTGGTAATGAAGTGGCCTAGCCCATGGGACTGCCTTGTCTGTGCCCTCATCACAACGTTTGAACCAGCAGATTGATTTCAGCCACATTTGACAGACAGTAACTCCTGGCTCTTCCATGACAATCAGCCGCTGGAGAGATGAAAGCAGTTCTACTAAAAGAGTGAGGAAAAGGCAGGGAAATCTCAACCCTCTTCTCTTCCGACAGCAGCTGGTCAGCCAACTAACACATGCATTGGTCATGAGAGCTGTGCTATGTGATTTTTGCCTTTCTGAAGGGGAAAAAAAAAAAATTAATATATATATATATATACTGTGGAAAGAAGCATAGGGAACACACAGGGAGCTGTATTTTTAGGATGGGGAGGTGTACCAGACACAGGGCATCAGCCTTCATTGGGATCAGCAGTTACAGAGCAGCTACTAACACATGCATTGGTCATGAGAGCTGTGCTATGTGATTTTTGCCTTTCTGAAGGGGAAAAAAAAAAAATTAATATATATATATATATACTGTGGAAAGAAGCATAGGGAACACACAGGGAGCTGTATTTTTAGGATGGGGAGGTGTACCAGACACAGGGCATCAGCCTTCATTGGGATCAGCAGTTACAGAGCAGCTTTGGCAAGAGACGAAGAAAAGCACCAATGAAACAAAATGCCTTAAAAAAAACCAAAATGAGAATGCTTCCCCATTTTTTCCATATTCCACGTTAAACCAGAATATGATAAAAAGTGCAGAAAAAACATGTGCAGATTACATATAGCTGGGTGGTACAAAGAATCAATGCCTGTTCTCCTTACATTTTCTTCCTGCAACAATTCCCAAGAAGTGAATATTTACACATTAATTAACAAACCTCAAAACCACAGCCAAAAATTTTGCAATTCCCATAGCAAGTTATGATTTACGCACAACTTCCCTCGTGGCAAGTTACTTCTGCTGACAGAATTTAATTTTTCACTTCCATTTTGATGTAATACACTCACAAAATGAGTGCCCAGTGTGAAGGTCACGCTTTATGCCCCAACGTTGGTGTGGACAAAACCTTCACATGTGTGATCAGGGCTATGCAGGTGAGATGGTATTATGTAGCATGGCAGTCACGTCAACCTGGATTTACTTTTTTTTTTATTAATTAAGAATATGTATCAGTAGATAAATCAAATGAACCTACCTTTTAACTCCCACTTTAGCTGCAAAGGTTTCTGCAGACTTCAGTGGACGCTGGATTAGGTAGGCAAAATTAAATTAGTCATAGAAGCTGCAGGGCAGAGACTCGGGGACTGAGCAATACCTGAATATAGAGGGCTGTCTGGCAGTGCACTGCTATGTTCTCGTTATCCTTAGCCATGAAGTATGAGTAACACCTTGCAATGTAAAACACACTGAATATTTGTGTTTGGTTTATTCTTACCAAGTTCCCACCATCATAATAACTTTACAATTTTGCCTCAGGTAAAAAAATATTCAATAGAAAGATTATGCCACTAAGGATATCTTTAAGAAATACACACAATTTCTCACAAAAAAAATAAAATCAGATCAGCTCTTTCTTTACAAAACATGTTTTTCTTTTATAAACCTTATACAGTATGGCATTTTGATTAGCTTTTGCAATAAACAGTTCATCAAAATTAAATTAACTGGTAGTATATATGATAATTGCTTTTTAATTTAATGACATAATACAGTCCTAGGTATTGCTACAACTTAACAGTGAGCCACTATAGTGGCAAAAAATACATATCATTTAATTCCTCATTTATAGTCTCAAGTTTCTTGTACTTTAAAAAAAAATATGATTCTGTCAAAAGTCTGTGTAAACATCTTTGTGTCTTAATTGTTACTGTCTTAAGAATGCAGCAATAAGAAGACAAACTCAGCAGCCCATTTGCTTTTCTTTTGGTCCAAGTAAAGCATGAGGAGTGCATTTAGGCCTTTTCTGAAGCTGGTACTATTTTTGAATCAGAATCTTCTCGTTCCGAGTCCTGAAGGTGCTCTGTTGTTTTGCTGGCCTCATCCTCAGTCTCATCACTGTGATTTTTGGATTCTTCTGAAATGACAGTCAGCTTGTCATAAAAAAGATGCTCTTGTGGGAGTGGAGAAAAATACTGCTCACCACTGGGAGGCTTGCTCAAAAACTGTGAAGGAAAGAGGAAATGAGATTTAGGCTGCACCAGCCATACCATCCTGTTTCCTTAAAAATATATTTTGTATTGTTTTCCACAGATCAGTTGGCTTTCTCAGTCCTTAGAAGTCCCAGAGTGGTGACAATGCAATAACCTCTCTGTTCACCTTAATATCCTGTGCAAGGCTTGGAAGCAAGTTAGAAGTGCCTTTATTTGTGAGAAGATACCCCAGGGGTTAGTGATTTCTTTGGAATATAAACTTTCTTAAAAAAAATTCAAATACCTAGGGTTTGTTTGGAAACAAAAACTAAAAACAGCGACGTGACTGTAGGTGAAGGAGTTCACAGGGAGATTTGTCAAATAGCTCCAAGAGATGTGAATTGTTCCTGCCATGTCAGAGAGCTGTCTGCTCAGACATCAAATAGTGATGCTTTAAATGTCAACATAAACTGTGACCATTTAGTCAAGTAAAGGAGAGGGAAGGTGATTTGCGGGGCTATGCAGTTCAGTGAGAAAGATGACTTAAATTTAGTACCAAAATATCACAACTTCCTCCCACTCCCTGTTCTGTAGGCAAGATGGAACCAGCCTCAAGAATCAACGTGGACTTCACTGGCTATCACGACTGTATTTTGAACACCAACACAAGAACAGCACACCTACTCAACACAGTGATAACATGGCAACCACTCATTCTGGCAGCTGAAGCGGCACTTCAGTTTATTGGTAGTGGCTGGAGGAGTACAACCGCATTTTGTTCTTGTGACCTGACCCTTATTACTTCAGTGCATTTTACAAAAGAAGTGAGCTGCTCTATCAGGAGTCTTCTTGACTGTAATTACAAAAATAAATACTAATATTATTGCTATTAGACCTTTTTCTAGGAAACTGTGATTTGAAATGTTCTATCAGTAACCTGCAATCTCAAATGTTCACGTAGTGAAACCACTGCCTTTGATAAATGTCATTTTAGGTAAGCACGACTGACCTTTGGTTACTGTGATTAACCCACTAGCACAAAATGGAAATTTTCCCATTCTTTTCAGAAACCTGTGAGCAAAATGAAATTTGACTGCATCCTGTACTGATCAGAGCAATGCTACCTTTCCAACAGCTGAGCTCCAGCTTCAGCGAACTACTGCATGCTCAGCATCTGCCCAACGTCAAGCACAAGACCATTGCTAAGTCAGCTCCAAAGCTTTAGTCTGCTGCACTCTAAATGAGTCAACATGAAAGACCCAGAGAAACTGCAGGAAACTCAGAAGTGTGTAGGTAGCTAACTTCAGCCTCCGGAACACTCTGTATAGCCTTGTTTCTTGGAGGAGATTCTGATACAGCCTTTTTATGTCGCTGTATGGGTAACAGGGTCAGTGGTGTTCCCCAACAGTAATGGCTAACATTCAGTGCTCTCATTTTATCTTGAATTTTCAGCCTTCACTGCATTCTTTACTGAAGTTAAAACTCATTATTATATTTGTGAAAGAACTTTGTTTCAGCAGTACAAATGTGCAATTTTAAGTCTAAAATGAGACAGGGGAGACATATCTCAGTTGTTTGCTATCTAAAAAGAGGAACTGAAGGTTAACACCTGTTATTCTCTCACTTTAAAATGAAAGAAAACATCCTGTTTCTAAGCCATATAAAGCTTCATGTTAGAAATGATGCAGTTGCTTTAGGAATAGAAGTCTATGTTACATTTTTAAATTGTTCAGCTTTTAAATATTTTGGACTATTCTGTGCAGAACAGTTCAAAATGACAGTATTTTAGAGTTTATTATACATCAGTATACTTCAAAAGGAAGTCTAATTTCACTGCTTCTTACTTCTGTCTATGCAGCACCACAGAACTTGATGAAAAAACTGAGGTAACATTCATGTAAAATTTATGACCTTATAATGCCAGAGATTAAATATTAAATGAACTAACTTCCACTACCTTTCTCACACTGAAAAGTACCTTCCTTTGTCAGCTTTTTCCAAAGTTCACGACTTCATCATTTACACTGATTTGAATGGCTTTTTATGTTTGGCAGAAGAGCAATTTTTACCATACAGAACAACCATGTAACAACAGGTAACCTTGTAGTCTAAAACCCCCTCAGAATAGTCTGCACTTTACAGACGGCTTTACAATGAGGAGCAAATGAAAGAAGGCAAAATAAAAGAAGGTCTAAAGGTTTTGGCAGAGAGCGCCTTTGGAAAGCAGGCAATTCTGCTGAAAAGGCTGATTTTAATTGTGTCAGGTAGAAAACAAACCTCTTTCAAGTGTTGTGGGAAAATATATGAAGGGCAGAAAACATGTTTGGTGAGTCGGTATAGATACAAAAAGGAAAAGAAACAAACAGGAACAGATATTACAACGACCAACATTGATCCTGTAAGAACAGTCACAATTATCCACACTGGAGTTACACCTGCAAGAGACAAGAAAAAAAAAATTAACACTGTGATTATTAATTTCTGACTATATTCTCTTCAAATTATCACTTTCTCTATGGAATTTAAAAAAAACCCCCAAACGATTACAAAATTGTAATTGCAAACTTTGTTTCCAGATGCGAAATACCTCTTAGCTTAGAATTTTTGGTCTGAACAGGCTGAGGAAGTTCTCAATGAAGTAGCCATCATATTCAGACATTTACAGTTACAAACACTGGTGATTCTACATGCAATACTCAGCAAATGATTAAAGGAAAAAAGACCAACAGAACCATCCACAAGGTGATACAATGTAAAAACCTATTGTTCACTCCTTGGTGTTTCAGGAGCCTGGGAGTTGACACATACCACCACCAGAGTGTAAGCTTCCACTTTTCTCTTAAAGAAATCTGTAAAAAATGGCAGCAAAGACAGCAGGGGACAAAAGTCTGTAAAATTCTAAACTACTGAGCTTTTAAAAAAATTAGGCCATGCACGGGGATTTCACAACAGGTGATGGGAATGAAGATGTATCCATACATCACTGTAAAAATGTTTTAAACAACCGACCTACACTTGCTAGCACTGTTCTAGCCATGAACGAACAAGAGACACCACCACCTGCAATTCAACTGCAGTGTAGGCAGATAATATACATATAGGAAAAATATATGAGGAAACACTTCATGAGGAAAAACATAGGAGAAACAGGTTAGCCCAGTAGCTTCCCTAGGCTTCCCCGAGATGGCTTCCTCATGACCTTGAGTCTCTGCCTTGGATTTTCCACACGTTATCTGAGGGTGTAAGTTAGCTGAAATACACATGACGCCTGTGGAAAGGACATTATCGAGGACCCCATCCTTTCTTTAAACTATGGACATGAAGCTCCCTGCTTTGGTACTTAACTGCCTTCGAAATGAGAAAGGAAGTACCTAACCAAAATATTTGTTCATATTATTGATTAATAATTGCTGTGTTTCACAGAGAAAGAGCATCATGGCCTGGTCTCGTGACAGACACTGGCAACATCGCCACAGATGAAGCAGACTGCAAGACAGAGTCCCATTCCTTTCTTGGTTACAAATTCACAGAGCAAAGGCTTTCACAGGACGATGAATACAGCTGATGGTAAAAAATTCAGACACACAGTGTGATCAGTGAAGAGCCTATGCTCCATTTAACTCTGATTTTCAGAGTATGAGGAATGCAGAGGTCTCTGCAGCGAAGTAAAGCATCATGCCATCAGTAACATCGCTTGTAGTTCTCACTTCATTTCCAACTCCTCTGCTCCAAAGATACACACGTATTAACCGCCAAGCAATACTAAAATTACAAACACATCCATTTTTGTAAGGTTTACACGTTACACCGATTTTCATTTTGAAAACCTTTGCACATCTCCCCGTTCCCTACAGCGCGTGTCCCGTCGCAGCAGGTATTACCGTTGTGGGTTGTCTGCTCACAAAGCTCTCCGCTCAGTTCCCCAGTTTTGTTCCATTCGGGGATAACTGCTTGCACTTGAATACAATATATTGTCCATGGCTCCAACTGAGATAATATTTCAGAGTTATGTTTAGTATCTACGTGAGTTACCTAATAACAGAGAAGAATACAGAAAATTTGAAAAGCATGAGTCCAGGGAATGGACTAGCTAAGTAATTAAAATTACATTTAGTAGGACAAATTCTAGCAGTTATAGCTGTAACATGAATAAGGCTTTTCAAGGCAGATTGAAATGCCCTGCCTGTGTCAGATAACTGATAACTCTACATCAATTTCCCCTGTGGTTACTGTGAGACCATTCACACCACTGACTTTCTGGCTGCTTCTAGCAGCGTTAGCGAAGATTTAGGTTAAAGAGCCCTATAGAGAAGTGATAAATGAGATCTGTTTGCAGAGAGGAACAACTGTCTAACTGAATGAGATCAACTAATAAGGCTTTAACAGACAAACATAATTTAATTTGAGCTAGAACAAGTAGGATGGATGATCTAGACAAAAGGGGAAAAAAAAAGAGAAATAAAAAGGCTTGTGGAAGCTATAAGGTGACTGGCAGCAGATGTAACTTGCTGTTTGGAGGCATGACTGGTTACATCCCTGTAACTATACGGTTCCTGCAGAGTGTAGGAATCCCTACAACATGTCCCGTTACGTACTAACAGATTCTTTCTCAGGGGTGAGGGCACTCTATAGCTAGGTTTCAACATTTTGAGCAAGCACCCACTTCAAAAAATAACCTACAAACTCACATAGTCTATGCCTTTTGCTTCTTTGATCCCTATGAAATTTCCCAGACAAGCACAGATTCTACCTGAAGTTCCCACATTCTCTGATAATCTGCCTAAGTTTGCAGCCCATGTGCAGAAATACCTTCATTTCTTGTAGTTCGGGAACTGAAAACCAGTCTGTGTTTTGGGAAATGATGATCCCTCATTTTCTAGAACTGAATGCCAAAGAATTTTGCAGGGTAACAAATACAAGTGAGAATTATATGTAGTGGAGTCCTATTATATGAAAATTGTACTGATGTACAAAGCACTAATTATACTGTGACTGGTGTCTTCCAGTAAAGGGCTTCCTTTTTTCCTGTAATAGAACTCATGACCCTATAATTAACATATTATTTATGATCTTTCTCCATGCTTTTTGTATGGAGAAGTCTTTTGAGCTGAGTAACACATCCGTCTGTGGAAGAGGCTGTCCATGAGCGGAAGAAAGCAAATTACAACAGATAGAAATTGAAGAGGTGAAGGTGACCACAGTTAACGTAAGGCCTCATCCATGGTGGTATCCAAAGCCCAAAGTCCCACGAAGAGCACAGGTACTTGAATGACATCGGATTTCAATCTGAGTCAGCTTATCACCATGATGACAGAGACTGCTGATGTTACAGCTTCCAAGTTTACCCTCGCTTGTATGTGTGAAATACGGAGATTTGGTGGGGAAGACTGCATCGCAAACAAACGCATCACTAAACTGAGGAAATAAACTCTCATAATGTAGCAGTTATTTCTAATTATGGAAAGAGCAAATTATATCCATGCTACTGTTTAACTACACAGCTAATTGCCATTAGCTCTGAACAGCAGTTGTAGTGACTAGACTTTATTACACTGTAATTAGGAGAGATGATACATTTTTACTTCAGTACCCTTAGCTTTCAGAACTTCATCAGTATGGTATTTTACCAGGACAAGTATGTATCAAAGTCAAGGAGTCACAATACCCTGGAAGCAGAAGTTCTGTCTGTATTGCTGCCTTTCTTCCAGTACAGTATTCTGTAATTCCACGAGCCATAATAGTGCTTTAGAGGCCACTTGTCCTGATGCTCAGCGAAAGGGCCTGTGAAATCCACATGCAGGGACCCAGACTCTGACTTCACTTTGACATCAGGTGGCCCAACGACTGCTGTATGTTAGAATGGTGGAAGAGAAGAAAGAACGGAATTCAGTTTCACGTTGTTCTCAGTTTGACACTTTTATACAACCCTTGAGAATTCGTGCTTTAAATAATTTTACCTATTAGAAGAAAGTAAATTCCTTTCATGGGTCAGGCATAAATAAATCCTTTCCTTATAGAACTGGTCTTGAAAGGGGTTTATATTTGCCGTTAAACAACAGATACTACTGCAGACTACATTCCCCATATGCTAAAGTAACTCAGTTCTCCTTTGCCAGCTGTGCTGACTCCTGGGAGAGGAAGGACTATTTCTGTAGGTCATTACTCACTTCTCCTTCTGGGCCAAGCTGTCGCAACGTCTGTCTTTTCTGAGTAGAGCCTCTGGTGAAGTGGTTTAATGTTTCTTTCGTTGGGATCATTTTGAAAAACTGAAAATTTTGAATTATTTCTGCATGTCTTACCCATTGCGCTCCTTAGACTGAATATTACGTTCTCGCATTTTGTAAATGGCTTGGTCTTATTATGAAGTTTTTGTGCCACTACCTAAATTATTTCATAAGTAGCTTAGTTATCAACTGCGTTGTGTCGGCAATGAGCTCTCCATTAAAGTCTCCTATAATTCCAGCAAACAACTCTGCCTCAGCTGCCTCTATGAAAGTTCTGCCTGGCTACAGTCACGCTATAGAGTGTCTAATAAAGGAAGAGCTCAATTTTGCATTCCTCTAGAAATATGTACTTCTATAATTAAAAATACCCCCCCTCTGCTTGCTGGACCATACATTCATGTAATGCTCATGAATATGTTGTTGAACTTACAAAAAATAATGTGAGGAGGTCTTGGTTACTCACGTTTTCTTAGGCTATTCCTACAATACAGCGTGGAATGTTTTAAAAAAGCACTAGCAGAAATAATAACACGGAAAGGAATATCAGATATTTTTATCATGATGCCCTGTTCAGGTTAGCTACAACAACATTAAAAAATTCTCATGTCCTCCTCTGAGATTTAGCCAGTTGGCCACTACTCCCAGGTCTTTCTTTCCAGGTAGTTCTATTCTCAGATTTTCCCATTCAGGAATAAGCTGCCTTTCCACAGCCAAGCCTCCTCGGAAGGCCACATGCTCTTTCAAATATATGTCAAACTACAACTCCGTTAATGATTTACAAGTTTCCTCTCTACTCTGAAAATCCATCCATACTTTTCGTATTACATTTTCTTTTGGCTGTAATTTGCACTTGCAATGTTCTAGGCAGATTAAATTATATCAACGTTATGCTTTTGGAGAGATAACCAATAAAAGCATTTTGAAAAATAAGGCTGTAAGCTGTAAAATTACACTCTGAAATCCAAGGAACAGAAAGATGAAATTCAAGCAAATGGAGGCAGAACAAGGAAAAATAAAAGGATTTTTAAAAGTTTTTCTCAAAGATGAGGTGTAACAGAATGGTTCCTGCATGGTTTTGTATTAACAGCTGTGAGGAGAAAAAAGCGTTGGGTAACATAATCTAAAATAATTTGATTTTTGCTATGAGTGGAGTAAGAATGCACAAAACAAAGGACGCTCATTGGTAAAAACCACTCTGTCATTCCCAAGCTCAGATGACAGCAAAGTGGTTGACATCTCTGTTGTGCACTGAAATGCAAGGCAATGTCTAAATTGTCTCTCACAAAAGACTGTAAAGCTTCACTAAGAGAATGGCAATATCGTGCCATGAAGATTTCTTATCTAAAAATTAATCTTTCGCTGTGATTTTTTTTTTTAACTAAGAAAAAGAAAAAGAAAGCTTTTTGCCTGACGTAGCAATGAAGAAGAAAGTAATTGAACTTTAGATGTACAGCAAGCCTGAATCCTTGAACAAAAGCTCTCCCTGGCTGGAAAATATAAATGATCCTTATTTTAAGGGAAAAATACACATTTTTTTAAAGCTTCCTCAAAAGAGGTTTCAAGTACCAATACTAACATCTAGCTATAATAGTGAGCCTACTATGCTTTCTGACAGCAACTTCTGCCTTCAAAAAATGAAAGTGTTACAACTAAGATTTTATAGTTCCATGTAATTAAATTTCAAAATTTAATTTCAATTAAATGTCATTAAATTTCAAAATGATCCACATGCTGTAGCTTTTCTTCTGGAGCCAAATTGTAAAGGTGCACTAATAGCAGACAATATTTTTTGTGGAAGATCAGAAAAAGGCTTACTGTCATCCATGGGCTGAAATCTGACGGTCGCCCACTTTGAATAGTTATTTTCTGACTCTGCTCTGACCTGTAAAATGTAGTCTCCATACACAGACAGAGAAGAGACATCGCACTCGGTGACTCTCAAGTTCGTGCTCACATTTGTATATGTATTTCCAGGTATATGAACACTGTATGGAAGAGAAACAAAACGTATATGATGTGTAAATTCTAACCGACTAAATGTCTTTCCTCTCAATTAACTGGAGAAGTGGTATATCTGTTTGTTAATCCAACCAGTTACGACTCATGAACAAGAAAAATTAGATCCAGTGTATAAGAAACATCATTATTAGTATGTACACACACAGTAGGCATTTTATATGCGTCATAAATCCATGATAAAGTTAGAGATTAAAATCGTGATTCAGTAAATATATGCCCTTTTCTTGACAGTGGTTACAAAACTTGAATCAACAGACAGCAGTTATCAGACAAGTCTGCAAATATTAGGAGATTATCGCTACACACAGCTTTGCTGTTTGACTTTGTTCAGAACCGTCTTTAAGATACGCATATAAAGAAAAGCCGAGAAAATAGAGCCTGAGAACTGACTGGGAACTGCTTAATAGATGATATTCTTTCTGTTTTCTATCAAAAGCCCACCTAGGAACGTAGTGATCAACAGGCAACTGCTGCCAGAACCCAGAAAAAAAAAAAAAAATCTTCTTTCAACTAAGATGGCCCGTACCCTCAATTTGGGGATTTCTCCTCAGCAGGCACCTGACTGTGGGTGCCATCATCTCCACTTTATGTCCTACCCTGTCTTGGCCAAAAAACTTTTTTGGACCGCAAGACCTGTGGTCCATCACGTGCTTTCCTTGCCGAGCACGGAGGCAGGCAGGGAGCCCACTGCTGGGCTGGGGAAGCGGCCGCCTTCCTCGCTTTTCCGAACAGGAAAGACCCACTCGGAAGGACACGCTGGCGAAACCAAATCAAAGATAAATCAACCCACCAAAACTGACAAAAGGAAACCTCAAAAAATGTGTCCTAACTTTAAGGGACTGAATGGACGAGCCCCCAGCCTGTGGTTCATCGGGCATTTCCACTAAGGACACAGGCAAGCTGGCTGTGTCGATGGCAGAGCACAGAATGGAGAGAAAGACCAGGTAAGGTCCTAACGCTCGGCAGGGCTAACTCTCTTGAATCACAGGTTAACAGCTACATGACAGAGAAAAAACACACGTGGAGCTAATAACATCCAACATTAAAATGTGTTTCTGGTTCCAAAAAAAAGTACGTACAAAGCTGCTTTGGGTGTGAAATGTTTGGAAAATGCCTCTGTCCTGTTATTTAGCTCAGAAGATAAGCCTCTCACAACCTATAATAAAGGAAACAAATCACAAACACATGCAGCTGTAAAACGTGAACTAAAGGAAGCCGAACTCCCCCAGACTTACCTCTTAAATTGGACAGTGTAACTTATATTCCCTTTGTGAAACCTAGGTGCATCCCACCGTAAAATGCTACGAAGATTAACTGAAATAATTCTTGCATTTTGGGGTTTGGGCACTATTCCAGATACTGTGGGAGCAATCAAAAACAAACATTTTAGTATGTGTTCTTCCAGTGACTTCTCAGTCATCCAAAACTTAAATATAGCCAACTTTCTCTTCCTTGCCTCAGATGCTTTTTTAGAAACAGACTTTAATATAATTAATTTAAATCCTGATGCCTATAGTTCTTTCTGAGCTTATGCAACAAAACCAAAGTAGCCAGCGTCGATGATTTCCAGTAAGTACAGTCTTCGTGATATCATCAGTTCTTGTGCAAGACTGACTTGTTACTGCCTGAGACTTAGGGCCCGTCACACTATGTGCATGAACTCTCACTGACATTGTCAAAATCAAATTTTTCTAAGTAGTGCTCCAGTAGCACCATGGAAATAACATGGGGGTGTGGATTGATTTATTGGGGTTTGTTTTGTGGTTTTGGTTTGGTTTGGTTTGGTGTTTTTTTTTTTTTTTTTCTGAAGAGGAACAGTCTTTCTACACAGACCTGGGTATATGACTGAAATAATTAAAAAAATAAAAATCCATCAGAAGCATGTTTATATCATCACTGTCTGGATTAGCATTGCCATTTAAAATGCTTTAAACATTCTGTTGTTAAGCCACCCTTTTGAAAAACAGAGACGAACACGAAGTACCTTTGAAGGCAAGAGAGCTATGCAATACACCATGCAGATAAACGTACCATTAATTGGCGCTCTTCACAAATGACGAAAACACAATTGTTTTGCTTTATTGAACGTAGACTCAATTCCTACAATGTTACCCTCGCACCCAACAGATCAGCTCAAACGTGCTTCACATCACGAAGGCAGAAGTTGTTTGCTCCCCTGCAGCCAGACCTCCTCGAGAGACGCGGTCCCTCCACGTCCGTGCCCTCTCCAGTACCCACCCTGGGCACTCGCCTTCACCGACCTCTGCCCGTGCAGACACCCCGCTCCTCTGCAGGCGCCTCTGGCCTCCTGCTCCCACACCTTCTCCTGCCTGCCAAATCCCTGGTGTGCAGAGCGCCAAGGAAGATGGGTGCAGGTAACAGACCGCAGAGACTCAGCGTGAACAACACGGCTGACAAAAACATCTGGCTCCTCGAAGGCACCTGATTTCCCTTCTCCCGCATGACAGGGCCCTCCCTACAAAGGACTCTCTCCAGGGCACTGCCTGCGCTTTGAGGAAGCTCCCTCCAAAGGCTTGAGTAAAAACCATGTAGGAAGGGTTTCGTGGTTATTTTTTTTTTTTCCCCAGTAAAAAGCGTGATGCTTTTGAAGGCTTGCTTCCCTGACAGCGTTTTCCACTTGAAAAGCCTTCAGGTGAATTTTTTATTCAGCACTGCGGACCCAAAGAGATCTGTGGCTTTGTGCTTTGTAAAGGAAAGGTTTGTACACATCCCCCACCGCCGCCTGAGATACGGCTTGTTTTGGGGAAGGCATGGC